TTAGTAGGCGAGTCGTAATAGCCAATTAAAATTTCGAAGTAGATCCTCCTGTTGCGGCGCGCCAAAGGCAGGAAACCGCGAGAGCGGCTAGAAAAACTAGCTAAAGTGACGTAATCAGCAAGGTGCTCTCGAGTCTGCCGACAATGACGTCACGACGCTCAGGACAGATAACTGAGGGCAGAGAGGATGGCCGCATCCCGGGCGGCAATCGCTGCACGTATTTCGCAAAATAAATGCGATTTACGTTAACTTCTGCCCAAGTGCGCTAACTGGATTTACGGGACTAAAAGCTCTGTATGTCCGCTCTTGACTCAGATTTTTTAAAATGTGCTTGGCTTCCCTTCAAAATTACCGGATTTTTTTTTTGGAAGCGTTAGGAAACTTCGGTTGTACGAAACACGGTCGAACCAAATCCGTGTTCCCTACCCTAACTTTACTCTCGTCTCCAGCTACCTGGTAGACATATCCGGTATGGGCGTCGAAAAAAACAATAAAACATTTTAACCTGCAAATAGTAAAACAATAAATAAAGGGAGACAAAAGGAGAATGGGTGACGGTTACGCTTATATCCTCAATGCATTCTATTGGCGTGGCGACGGCAGAACAATGTTTTCGCCAGTACTGGAAGTGACGATATTTCAAGATGGCGGCGCCCTTGTGAAAAAGGTCTATAGATCAACCGCGCCACTGACGTCACACAACAGCCTTGGCAATGCTAAGGGCAGGGCGCACGCGCGCCCGCCTCATCTTTTGTAAGCTGGTTTCTGCGCATGTGCAGTGCCCATAATTCGTGTCTTCTAACGTGGATTCTTTTTTTCTTTCTTTTTGTTTTTCTTAAAAATGTTTATTGCAGTCGAAGTTACACATTCAGCAAAACTGAAGAGATCTGGTAAGAACAGCCACCCTGAATTTTTCAAAACTTACAGTCTCCGACGACCGTAATGGAAGAGATGTCTAAAAGCCTTGTCTTGTAATCTGTGACTGCGCTTGAGAAGCCACTATTAGTTCAACGCTCTCGATGATGAGTTCGAAAGGAGGTTTTATTTTCACAATTAATCGACGGCTAATCGATCGCACGAGGGCAAGCGCCGCCGTCCTGTTCAATCACTCGAATATAAAAACAATTCGAGCACCCAATGACTGGTGATGGGTGACGACCAGTCGTTAAATATGCACTTTTTTTCTCTCACTGTGTTAAAAGAAGAGTCGTTTTTCCGAGGCTCATTTCGTTTGTGCACGAAGCAATGATTCTATATTTTGTTCATTTGTGTCATTTACTACATTTTGAATCCTGTGTCTTGTCCGCTAATCATGGGCGTACCAACCCGGTGGGGGGGGGGGGGGGGGGGGGGGGGCAAGCGCTTGCTCCCCCCCCCAACTCTTAGAGTTGGGGGCAAGGCATGTGTTTTGCCATAGGAGGCTATGGTTTTGCCTCTCTCCCCTCTCCCCCCCCCCCCCCCCCCCCCCCCCCGAAACAACCGCCACTGGGCAGGGAAAACACTGGCCGGCGGAGCCCGAGGGGGACCAAGGGCACCGCCTCCCGGCCCTAAGGGGAGGGGGGGGTCTGGTTTGCCTCCCCCCCCCCCCCCCCCACCCCCCACTCAGAAACAGGTTGGTGCGCCACTGCCGGTAAGTTTTGACTAAAAATGAAGTGAAGGTGGCAACCGCGAACATCGCACACCTCAGCAGCAACTAGCTCGTCCTTAGGAGACAATCTAGATCCTGCTGAGGTGAAAAAAATCGTTTTTTTTTATGCGAGATGCTTTCTGATGACACCTTTCTCTTGCCATCCACCTAAATACAATATTGTCTCACAAATGAATACAATTGCTCTGTCTGCTAATGGAATTCAAAAGCTATTTGAAAATCTCCAGCGAATTCAGCTCCTGGCCCAGATAACATTTGAACGAAACTGCTCAAGCTCAGTAAATATCAGTGTTTGTAAACGTTACCGAAAAAAAAAATAACAATATGTTACTCGTTACTTGCAAATAAAAGGAACCCGTAACCGTCACCGCTACCAATAAAAAGTAACACAAGTTACTTTTGCGTTACGTTTATTTATACATTGACGGTAACGATGTTGTTTTTGTTTGTTTTTTTAGGGGGGGGGGGCGGCAGCGCTTTCGACACTGTGACAAAGGGTGTGGGCGTTTGGGTTTCTTTGAAGTGGGATTTTTTGCAGATGGAAAAGAAAGGAAAAATTTTGAAATGAGGCGGAATGTAGGTCAATAATTAGTAATTACTGACTTGGCGCCTATACTTCGTTTCAGCTTACGTCCAGACTGAGCCGGAGCTACGAGCTCATGGGACCAATCAAGCGGCGTCAATAGCGCAAGTTACTAGGCCTTCTCTGTTTCTGATTGGTTCAGCAATGATATTCACGTACAGAAACATGACGAACACCACGATGGTGCACTTTTGACCCTGCCTGATGAGATGAGCATTTGTTAAAGTACCGCATCACAGGCTCTTTCTTAAATTGCTCGCGTTCCTAATAGAACCCTCCGCAATTGAGTGGATTTAATATTTTCTCTTCAGCCACTCGCAAAGTATTCACTATGACCAGGAATGCTCATCTCATCAGAAAGTGAAGTCGAGAGTACCGCTAAAAACCCTGCTGGCCTCCTATTTCTTTGTTTTTTCGTACTTCAATGACTTGCAGGCTAGTATCCAGTCAACCATTCGTTTTTATGCTGATGATTGTGTAGCATATAGAAAAATATATATAGTATTCATGATTGCACGCAGCTTCAAAATGACTTTATTAGTATAGAAAATTGGTGTAAAAAGTGACAGATGCAGATAGATATTTCCAAAACAAAATTCCTAATATGAACAATAAGCGGAATGCAGTCGCATTTAACTTCCCCTCTTTGATGCGCCCGATCAACATGTACGTGCATACATACAAATATCTTGGGGTTCATTTCACATCAAACATCTCTTGGGAAGCATGCATCAATCGCACATGGCCAATTGGGAAACAAAACTCTTAGCTTACACAGCCCTCGTCCGCCCACAGCTAGAATATGCATCTGCAATATGGGAACCCCCATCGGATTTATGTATTAGAAAAAAAAATTGAATCTGTCCAAAACAGAGCCACTCGCTTCATTCTCGAAATTTACACACGCATTAGAAACATTAGAAAACTGAAGGAGGATCTTGATAATTTTTTCCTCGTGGATAGAAGACATCAAGAATTGACTCAATACACTCCTTCTATTCCCATTCTCCCTCAAGGATAGAATTGTATTGTCCGGCTGCATCCCACTTTTTCCCACGCACCGACAATTCTCAGTAACTTCAATTGGTCACACCAAGACCAAACCTCATTAAATTTTCACTTCTTCAATTATTCATTTAGCAATCTAATTCTCTACCCGACAAAATTGTAACTGTTCAGGAATTGTCTAGCTTTAGAGCTGCACATGCAACTTTCATAAGCACATAGCAACATGTAAGTTTCGTGTGTGTGTGTGTGTATGTCTACAGTGTTGAATATGTTGTATCTTATTTGGCTCCCCTTATGTAGAGCCCAATAAGCGCTTTAAGGGTATATTAAATAAAATAAAATGGATGAAATTTGCAACGTTATACAAATGTGCGGACAATCATTGTTGTGGAGAGGTGTTAGATTCGTTTCACTGCTAAGCTGATTGTGCAGGGGTAACTATACTTGCACGCCAGACCAATTGATCACCTGCCTCTTATAACCTGTACCCGCTTTGCGCGCGAGATCACGTGGAGCATGGCCGACGGTTGACTGGCGAAATAAGCACGTAGCGTCCACCGCCCTGTCAGCATAAAGGCCCGTTCACACTCTTGCGACCTCTTAAACCTGGGTTCCTTAAAACTTGTTAAACCAGAAAACACACTGGCGCCATCTATTGGGAAGCAGTGTAAACTCGGCGGTCCGGCATATTTTTTTTTATTTTTCGAGAATTATCCTTTCTTTCTTGGCTCGGAAAACTTTTGACAATGTTATAAACGAGCCTTTCTATGGGTATTACGCACATTTGACCTCGAAAATCCCGCAAAACCTTCGCTCTTGTGAAATGCAGTTCCAGGGTCACCGCATAGATGGCGCCACAATGTCAGTATGTTCCCTCATTCTAAAAACATTTAAGAAGTTGTAAGAGATCTCGTCTCTCTCAGTCGTACTCGGTCGCAAGAGTGTGAACGGGCCTTAACTGCGAACAAAGTATAGCGAATGCTTAAAAAATAAGCACGTGTCTCGATAACTTAGTTCAATGATACGCCGGTGCGTACGACTTCACGAGATATGCGCCTTGAGCGGTGGCACAGTTATCGTTTTCTACTGGCTCTCTTCTGTATGTTTTTAGATTGGAAGTGTTGTACGAGCAGTGACTGGCAGTTTGAGAAACAAAGGCGTACTCAGTGACTATGATGGAACGTTGCATCTCGGAAATTATGTTACATTGCGGCGGGACCTGTCAGGGCGCACGCTTCAAGACAAAACAGTTTTTATAAATATAAATATTGCACCTATGATCAGTACAACCCTTCTTGGGAAAATACATGTGCGGTGGCTGTAACAACTCAAAACATTTATTAAAAAAGAAAGAAATTCCGCTAGTAATATTATTTCACAAAAATTCTGAAGAATACTTACTTGCCATGAAGCGAATGGATGGAGGCGAGCTGGTTGTGATGTCCGTTTGAGGCGTCTATCTTTCAAAATCTGACTCAAGATTTCAATGGATTAATTAAACGAATTACGCGCTGTCTTGTCTATTAGCACCATGTAGTCTCTTCTAGACTTGGCCTTTCCTTTGAAAGTGTTCTCCGTTGCACAGGTGGCGCTGGCTTGTGCCAGTCGGCGGCACTTCACTGGCTAAGAAAAGCATTATAATCTAAATCCTGAGGCACGGAGACATGTGCCTCAGATGTTAGATTATTAGGTTACTTGTTCCGTGCGCTGGTTTTTTTCCTTTATGCTGAAAGAAAGCACCTGACGCCAAAAGCAAAAACAGAAAATGTTGTATTTTTATTGCCGAAAACGTATTTACAGAGTAAACAATCGCTTCCGCGATTAAATACAGCACTCTATCGATGAACGCAATACAAGTTGCGTAAACGTGTTGTCTAGAAAGTTCCCCCGAGCAATGCGCCTCCCAAGTGACTTAGAGCGTACACGGTGAACGGCTCGACAGAAGAGACAATTAAAACAAATACATATCATACATAAAAGATAGAAACCAACCCGCTTCCATAAGGTGCGTTCAGTTTTCGGCGCTAACCATTATTACCTTTAGATCAACTAAAGGTTGTTTAGATGCCACGGACCGAATGTGTACTGGTGACGAAACCGATATCAATGTCCACATCGTAGCTTCTGAAGTCACTCGATCCCGGGATCAAGTTACTTTAACAGTTTCCAGAAGTTCATTTGGAGGTAGCACTCAATTCCGTTCATATGCTTCTCTGTACCATACAATAGCACAGAGAACTATTGAGTATGTAACATTATGGTAAGTGGATTCAGTATTCGCCCAAGTCTGACATGAATACTGTAAGAGTAAGTAATCTCTTCAATATAATACTTGGTCTTAAGTAGCTTTATAACAGATCCTCTGCCAGATCATCTGGCACAAGTTTATTCATATTTATTAAAAGCTGAGTAGATCGAAATTTTTGTGAATTTTCGCTTTGCAAGAATTTGATGAATGATAATAGTCACGCTATTTTCAACGCAAATTTCCTCACTAAATTGAATGTTTTCACCTGCCGGATCAATGCAGTAAAGCTTCTGTGCAGTTTCATGCATCTACGTAAGCGTTTACCATTTTTATAGGACAAATTTCCCAGCATACGTGTCAGTATGTTTAAAGGTCAATGAATTACGCAGAGGACCACCTACAGCTTTCTAAGGTTCATCATAGGCCCCAGACAATCTACGCGTCTTGTTTGTTCCTAGACAAGAATGCAGCCCAATAAAACCATCATACCTGACCTGACATCTGAACAAAGGTACTATGTACAGAGACATAATTCTGAGGGCAAGCTTCAATACAGGTGACTTCGTCACAGTTGAAGATACAATTAGACCGTTTACAACCTAAGTCTTATGTTGTCTGTGCAAAACATTGGAAAAGTTTCAGCTGCTGTGCCCGTACTAATTTCACATATGGTGCTTTTTTCATTTAATGTTGAGTAACTCAATTAATTTTATTCATAACAAGATCAATGTCTTTCCTGGTCGTCTCTTCTATTTCTGAGCTGGCTGTATCGAGCAGTGCATCGTGCTAATGCTTTCCTTGCCATAAAGATGCAGGAAAAGGTACAAGGCTGCCATGCCCTACTCAGCAATATCCTAAAAAAGAGGCACCACTGGGGAGAACCACAATAACAAAATAGTCTCAGTGCAACACATTCAGCCAGGAGCACAACGACGCGTGCACGTGCTTTGGCATTGTAGTCTGTCCCATTTGCACTTTTGTCTATGTACACCGAGAGCCCGTATCGCACAGTGCAGGACTAGACTTCTGTCGGGCGAAGCCCATCAAGAAGGCACGCTGTACTGCTTCGAAAGCCGGAGCGGCGTTGCCTTCACGTCGTTCGAGCTGTGTCTTCTGTGCAGACATCTCTCCTCCGGCTGAACCTTAGCTGGCCAATAGGGAGGTGCTATTCTTCCAGGGACAACGTCCTTCTCTTCGTCTTCGTCGGGCAGAAACGCAGGATTCACCTGCTCGCCCCTCTCCTGGAAGGTCGAATAGTTGGTTAGGTTCGTCAGGAGGCTCTTGCTGCTGTTGTTGGGGGGCATGTCCCTGCCGCTGTTCCACGCATCCTCCTGGTTCAATTCGCCGCTGAGCTTCCTCTTCACATCCTTGGCAACCACGGACAGGGAACTGTAGTTGTCCGTGGTAATTATTACTGGTGGTGTCTTGCAGTTCGCCGACGGGTGAGGCGGTACAAAGAACGGATGTGTCACGATTGCCTTCTTGTTCTTCTTGCAGAAGGAGTCCGACAACGACAGCAGCACTGGAAGCAGGAGGATTCCGTGCAGGGCGCCAAACAAAATAACGAGGAAAACCGTCTTGAAGAAGGTGAGGAAAATGTAGGAAGGCGCGAACGCTAAGATGGCGATACCCAGGATGGTGGAAACGCTTCCCTGGAAGATGGGCATCCCCAGCGAGTGGAGGGCACTCTTCATTTTGTCGTTGGCCGTGAGCCCTTCTGACGATAGGTAAGCGTAAGAAATGTGCGCGGAGTAATCAACTGAGAACCCGATGCACATGATGAGGTTGATCATGGAGATGGAGTCGAGGTTGACGTTCCACAGGGTCATGTACCCGATGACGCCGATCTCGATGGAACAGATGGAAAAGGCTACCCAAAGGGCGCAGGAAACACTAGGAATAAAAATGAGTGCGATGACCATCATGACGGCTGCTGCTACACCAATGGACTGGATGGACGTTTCTCGAACTAGAATGAACTGGTCGAAGAACACGAACAGGGTGTGGAACACGGTGATGTGGTGATCTGGATAGCTGTCAGCAATACGGCGTAGGTCGAGCACCATATCTTTCTCTAGGTTGGCGTCCGAGATGTTGGTCGCTTGGATGATGCAGCGCGAGGCCACGATCGATGTGAAGTTTTCGTTGAACTTTATATCCTTCTCGAACGTAGAGAATGGTGCGAACCTGCGTAGAAAGATAGTCGTTGGCTTCGTATTACATTGACGATGAAAATAAAATGCTAATTCAGGCTTGGTTGACGCATATTTCCTGAACAAATAGCTGAAATTCTTGTTCGTTTTTTATTGCCATTAAAAAAAAAAAAAAGAGTCTAACCAATGTTGACTTTAGTGAATGTAAAGATGGTATAATTAGCTCGTTACATTTTTAAGTTTGAAAGTCTTACATATACACCTTCATAACATCTGGCTTATGTGTGTGGCCTTATGATGACAGTTTCAATTTCTTTTTCAGAACGCAGCGAATTTCGAAGTCATGCATTTTAAATACTTAAGCAACATTATAATACATTGTATTACCGAAGCCATGCATTTTAAATAGCTAGCCACGACTATATTGCATTGAATTATATAATAATTTGATAGAACGCGTTGCTGAACTCCATGAAAAAAATATATTTAAACCACACACATTTGTGAAAATTTGACTTCGTTAGCATTCCCACTACCGTTGAGCACTTAGGGTCGGCAACCTTGTCATTCAATATTTTATCACTTTCATACGTAGGGACGCCGCATTATATAAGTGCGCTATTGAAATATATGGTATTCACAGTTGTTTAGTACTTGTCGGGTATTTAAGTTTTAACATCAGTCAGGTAAACAATACATAAATAACGTGACATACGTCACAGCCACATTATAATATTCAAATGGTAATTTGCTGCGTTTGTGTTGGTAACAATAGAATTACATATAACTTTTAAGCAATTCGGTGAGCTTGTAGCTGTTCATTCTGAAAAGGCCTGGACCTGAGGAGCACGGTGTACGAATATTCTTGCGTTTTCTTCATTTTGAAAGAAATTTCAGTGCGGTCTTCTCAGGGCTTGGATGGAAGGATGAACTTTTTACCTAAATTTTAGGGTAATTTTTGTAATATGGATCAGTTTCCATGCTTCTACCTTTCATAAATACGGTTCCCAAGAAGACGAATGCACAAGCCTATTTTTATGGAGTCTATTTCTGGCTTATGTAACGCACTGTCAGGGCCGGCCTTACACCATCAAGAGCCCTGTGCAAACTCCGGCCGGGGCCCCCCCCCCCCCCCCCCCCCCCCCCCCCCCCCTCTTTTTATAGGCACTTATCTACTAGGTTCGCCATCACGTTGTTAATAAGCATGTGAGTAGTGGCACAACACAAGAGTTTTGTCAGACGAGAACCGCATTCCAAAGACGAACGGCGATCGAGCATATAGCTTCGTGTCGGGCGCCATGATCAAATAAATTGAAAAGCTAAAAACAACAAAAACGACAGAGGGGCGCGGCGGCGCCTTTTTTTTATTTTTTATTTTTTATGGCGCCCTGGGCGAGCGCCAAGGTGACCCACACCTAAGGCCGGCCCTGCGCAATGTGGATGGCGTTACGGTTCAGGAACATAAATGCGAGGTTGATTAAATTAGTGGTTTAAACCGGGAGAACAGTTCTGATAAAACTAAAAACTTTACACTCGAAAAACAGGTCTTTGAGCTTACTTGCCCGCAGAACATGGAGGCAGCCAATCACGGCGAACAATAGAAGGACCGCAGAGAATAAGGATGCTCAGAATACGATTAGACCCGAAATATTAGATCTGCGCCGGGGCACTGAGCAACCGAAACATCAGGCTCGTGGTCCCTGTGCACGTTGCCTTTACTGGAACTGTCGCTGGGATCCTTTCGTTGTTCTCAGTGATCGGCTGTGTTCGTACTCTACAGGAAAGTGAACGCAAATACTTTTTATAGCGTAAAGCAGAAAGTAACATGATTTACGAAATAGTAAATTGAATAACATTGTCCTTAGTCTATATCAGACATGTACACGTTATCCAAAAAAGTAACTAAAGACCGTTACTCGTTACTCGCTCAAAAAGTAACTAAATCCGTTACTCGTTACCGATTCTCAAAAAGAACGCGTGAGTTACCTCAAAAGTAACGAGTTACTTTTCACGTCTTTTTGACGACCAAATACACAACTGTTCTTGTTTCGTAGTTTATGGTTTTCTTTTTAGTAGTCGTTGAACTTAAGCAGTAGCTGCCTCTCGAAGTTTTCATCAGTTATGCTTCCCCGCTTCCTTGAAAATACATCTCCGGCGACGCTAAAGCGTCGTTCTACTGACACGCTCGAAGGAACGGCAGTGTTTTGCTTCAGAATTATAACGGAAAAGAATCCACCAATCACGGCGTTTCGCTTCATTAACACTCAGTGTGACATATTGGTATTACAAGCAGTATGCACATTTAGAAATACAGCTTACTGTATTAAAAATAAAAGGTTTAAACTGAGAAATTCCAGCTTTTTCATACTAACAACATTAACTAACAACATTCGGGGGGGGGGGGGGGGGGTACCCTATTGGAACATTTAACGCGTAGCTGTGATGATTGTTTAGTGGTATTGACATTCTTGCGGTCTGTCAGTTTACTTCAGTATTCAAGGACGTTCTTATGATATAGTTTCAGAGGATTCCATGTTTCGCTAAACAAAACCTTTCGCAGCAGATACCAGCGAGCATTCATGGAATCGCTAGGGCGGGATGCACGCTAAAGATACTAAGCGAACGGTGGCCCTGCACTCCTCAAATTGCCGGTCTAATTCGGACTTGGGATACTAAAGTCTCCGCCTTTCACGGTGAGGCCAACGTCCCAGTGTCTACATTTGCATACATCCAATTTGGCTTCCCTTCGTTAAAGGTTCCGATAAGGTGAACCATTTGCCTCGCCACTTTACCTCAGCATGAAGCGCAGCCCCTGGATGTAGTCGTGAGGATCTCTGAGGTCAAATTGCGCGAAATATCCCTTGAACGGACCGTCCTGCGTCTGCTTGCGGTATTCACGGAACCAGCACTCGGTCAGCTCGCTGTTCTGCACGAAGCTGCTATTCTCAAAGGTTTGCACGATTTCCTCCAGCTTGTCGTAGACGTCCGGCTTCCAGTACTCCATAGTCTTGTTCATCACCACGTGGATCCGCAAGGGATAGCGCCTGAAGTACTTGTCATCCGTGTTGAAGAAGTCTCGAGCGTACGACGTGTCCATGGCCAGCTTGTAGCGTTCCAAACCTTCCTTGACCTGGAAACAGTGACGATAATCCATCGATCAAACAGCTTTCACTTTTAAAGCCAACTGGGATCAGCAGATAAAAAAGAAATAAAAAGGTATGGCAAATTGCAAGGCAATTTTGTTGCTTGCTTGAAACGTTCTAGCATTATGTCGCATCAGGTCACGTGACGTCAATTTCTCCACTAAATTTAGTGGGGAAACTAAATTGGTGTACAGGTCACGTGACGTCATTGTGACGTCACAGGTTAATTTAATAATCAGCGTAACGTAACGGTGTTTGGTTAAAGCGAGTCGAACCGAAAACTAACAAAGAATTATTTATACAGCAAAAACTTCAGAGTAAACTTCGTAAGTCAATTCAAATAGTACAGATTTAAAAGAACTAATCTAAAAAAAAGTTATGTTTGCCACAACTACATTTAAAATCAAGTGAGCATCTTTACCACAAGTTCCTTATCATAATGACAGTTGAAATATAGTAAAATTACATAAAACTATTTTGTTCTATTTTATATTTGGGGAAAAAATTATTCTTTGTTTCCTCGCTGACAAGCAGGAAAAAAGAAGTAGATAATTTTTCTTATCAAGTTGGCCTAAAAGGGGTTATGACACACCAAAAGTAAAATATCGGATAACTATACTGCTAAGACCCATTGTATGTTCCTATAATCCTGCTAAATTTGTTTTGAAAATGGCGCGATAGTTTCGTGGATAAATCAATTTATATACGGGTCCCTCGGACCCTTCCCATTCAAAAAGGACACCGTGGCTGGGAGGCTGGTGACGTAGCCAGCCTCCCGCGCGGCGTCCCCTTGCACGCACTCACAGACTTGGCTCTCTTGGCGTCTCGAGCTTCAGCTTCCTCGTTTACCTTCCGCGTTTCGAGCATCCGGTACGTGACGATCACGTCTACGGCATTGCTCGCCTGGTCAAAGTGTTTGACATTGATCGCAGCAGCGATGAGAGTGATTGCTATCAAAAGATGTTGGAAGCTGTTCATTCTGACTGCGACCCGCTGGCGACCAGCTCCAGTGACGGCGAGTTACGGACGAACTCGCAGCCGTCGTCACCGTCGCCCGGGAATATCTCGCAGGCGTATGCAGGGTGGAAGGTCAACGGGTCGGGGGCGAGAGCGAGAATAGCGTTCGGGTTGCCGAATTGCGTGAGCTGTTTTGATCGTACCGCGCGGCGAGGAGAGCTTGGGCGATCACGGGGGCGCCTAGAATGAGAGTGGTCATGATCACGTGGTTTATGGACACCATGGCGTGACTGACTTGGGCTGTGTTGCCTGGTCGCCAGATGAAAATGATAAAAATTCGTGAATTTAATATTGCAACTACCAGAGCTCTAAAAATCGCGCAACTTGGTGTATATACTAAGTAACCTATGAGCATTCGATTTCAAGAATTTTCTATCCGTTTAATCTTCGTGTCATAACCCCTTTAAGGTCAATTTTCTAAGCCTTTTCGTCCAGAAAGCCACACAATTCAAACAAGGTTCAGTGTTCTGTACGACTGAACATGTATATGAGCTTTCAGGCCATTCATTTGAATGCTTACGAACGTTTAATACCGATTTGTCAGAGCAGCTCATATTTATTAAGTTTTACCATTGGGGTCGTCATTCTTTTGGAAGATGAAAGTCACTCATCGTCTGCAAAACAACCATTTGACGCTAAATGGTTACAAAAGAAAATAATTAAAGCGTAAAAATATGTTTATCTTGTCGTTGTGGGTACTTGCCAGCATTTTGTCATGAAACTGGAAATTGGCATACTTATTGACTGGCAACACGCTCTTCAGTGAATAGCATACTCATCTGTTGATGTATTTCTATTGGCGAAATTGTGACCATATGATAAGATCAACAGGTTTGGCTTTCTTTTGCCTCCTACATTTATCTAAATGAACGCCAGACCGCAAACATTGATTGTAGAATGTAGAACAATAACTCTCGTAAAAAATATGTTATTCGTTTTTATTTTTTAGGCAGGAATCCCCCCGCCCGCAAAAATGTAAAAACGAAAACACTTTTCTTCCTCGTACCTGCAAGTTTGTCAAACATGATGAAACGATAAACTTAATCAACCTTCGTTCGTCCAATCTCATCAAGAGGAAAGCGCACATAAGCAAGATTCCGGAACATTAACCTTTTGCCTGAGGAACACATTTATTTTATTGCAAACAATAAAATTTTGTGCTAGGTGTGTGCCTCCCATCTGACACCATTACGATGCTTGTGAATATTGCGCTTCTTCAAAACTGTAGAAAGAAATTACATATATTGGAAATGTTGCCTATGGTACCCAATGCAAAATATTTTGACGGGGCCTAATAATAAGAAAGTAAACGTTCTAAAACTCTAATTAGTATTATTTATTTTTCACCCTTGCCCTAAATAATTACTCCGGAGAATATTACGATGTCTGCAGTTGTTCGACCGAAATCAATTTTGGTAACGTTTTTTCGAGGGACAAATAACCCAGATATTTTGGGACGAAATACCACAAACCCTAGCTATGTGTAAGATACGTAGACTATTCTAGTAGTCACCTGAGTACAGCCCCAGAGACCAATGGCGAGGTAGACGAGAAAGATGAGGATGACGAAGATCTTGACCGGGAAGATGCTAAGGATGCCTCCCCAGGTGTCTCTGAAGAAGGTCATCATGGCGTGCTCGCGGTTGTCCACGGGGTTGTCTGGGTCGTTGGGGTTTACGCCACCCGTGCAGAGAGTCTTGAACAGCCAGGAGCGCCCACCTGCAACAGCGAAGTGCCCATCTTCAGAACATCGACGGAAACTTTGAATTGTTTATTTATTTAATTATTCAGGTTGACCTGCATTGCCGCCCGAAGTGCATTATTGCGGGAAACCGATCAACGTACACAGCGTAATACAGCTAGCGCGAACACGCAATCGCCGGTATTTTCGCTTTCGCCTCACAACCGAAAAAACCGATCATCAAGATTACTCGTGAAGTAAAGTTTACGTATGTGGAACATATACTTGGCCACTAAAGTGGTGTGTCTAACTCCTAATGTACGTTATTCATATGCCGCACGCCGCCATCCAGCTCATGATAGCTTTCTCGTACGGTGTACATTTTGATTAAGGGTAAATACATTATGTGCACACATACATATACACAAACGTTGTAGTTTCCCTATTGGTGCGTTTGCAGTCTCGAATTCGCGGGCGAATGCGTGGCAGCGGCGCGCGAGGGGATTTTGAGGCCGGGTGACGTAATACGCCCGTCGCTTATGGAAAATCTGAATCGGACCGGGACCCATATCTAGATTTTCCGCCAGCGACGAGTCGATTTCGTCACCTGGCTCTGAAATTCGCTCGCCGCCAGGGCGGATCCATCCGCGAATCTGCAAGTGTAAACGCACCATTAGACGGTTAGACTTTGTGAAAGCATATGTAAGTGTTTCTGAAGGAAGTTTGTCATGCGATCTTCACAAAACCGCACACATAAAATATATATCAAATATTCCAGATTACGACTGGAACAATTAAGTGCTACAAGACAAATTGATTTCTGGAATATCCAATTTACTTAAAAATTTGTTGTTTCAGTTTAAGACATGGCCCCAGTTTCCATTGCAACAACGCCATTTAACAACTGCATTGCAGTTTTGTATATTAAAAAAAGGCATAGATGCTGATTTAAAAGGTTAAAAAGCGCATACAGAACAATATAAATGCTGTCTATCCTCAGAGGATTGGCTGGAATATCCAGTCATTCCAGCAATTGTAGATCACTGACGTCCACTATATCTTTTCCGTAGCACTTCATGCACGATATCCTGTTCCCAAATAAAGGCTACATGCCTCCATCTTACCATGCTCCAGTGTCCTGTGCAACATATAAACATGTACCGTAGTAACATTGTGGGCCGTCTCATTGCAACCATTCCCCGCGAAATCTTTAGTACAGGCGAAATTTTGTAGCGGAAAAAGACCGTCCGGCGTCCTCGTCACGGCAAATTCGAATTACGCTCAATAATTTAGTCCTCTACACGTCCGCAAGTACGACCTCTGAATATCACCATGGCAAAGCATGGATGAATGGATCCATGGATGTTAACTGTTGTACCCTTTATATAACAAGCTGTAGCTTGCGCCACCTAGCCACGCCTTAGCACGTCTTAGCATTGCGAAGACTCGGGATTCATCTTGTACCAACGATTCAGACAAGCTTTTGCAGCGTAGCCGCTTGCAAACGTGCATGTCATCGCTGGTGAAGATTGGCACCAAGAGTACCGTTAACTAACGTCCGTACTCACTGGCTTGCGACTTGGGCATGGTCGGGAAGCAGAGCAGGCCATGCAGGTTCCTCCTCTCGGCGTACCCGGAGAGCGCCATGCAGCCGCCGAAGAAGGTGATCTGGTAGATGTAGGTGAAGAGCACCGCCACGGCGGTGTAGATACAGAAGATCTTCACCGACGGGAACGGGGTGATGGCGCCGATGCAGAAGGAGATGAAGTTGGTCAGGGACGTGATTGTGATGGACACGGCCGCCTCGCGGTACGTCTCGCCCATCCGGTCCACTACGCTCTTGCGGGGATTGGTCCGACGCCATGCTGCCAGCAGCACGAACGTGTCATCCATCCCGATGCCTGTCGCGAAGACGAGAGAGGAACAATAGTCAGTCCAGATCGGCCTATCGTGTCAGCTAGAATCACTGGGTTAGCTACGCTTAGTGGATCGGCAATCATATCCCCGATTTTCTTGTGGGCGACGCCATTTTGTTGCTTAGTGCAGAGCCGGTGCAACTGGCGATCGTTACGGCTCGCAAATGCAACTTCCCGAGCTCTAAAGATCAGCGAAACGCTGAAGGCCGTGCTCAGGCTTATTAGGGGCTCTGAATTAACGTCACTTGGCGGATTTGGCGGCAGGCCACATATATCTTGCATTTGATAAACGCAGCGTTGAATCAGAAATCTGCCAGTATATTACCAGCATTGCGAATAAAGCTGTGTGCTGCATTTGACTGAAGGTTCCTTGCTTGTAACATAAGAACCACTATCGCAGTGCTCCTTGAAAGCCATCATATTTATCTCGTCATGCAGCCGACATTCTACAAAGACACAGTGTTATATAACAATTCCGAGCGTATACGACCCATATCTTACAATCTTGCGCAGCGACAGATAGTTTGCGGTAGTACTTAGGGAAACACCATTCATTACTGTCTTTTATAGCGAGTTACAGCCAGCAGGTCGTAGACCAACATTCCGTTGCTTTTTAAAATGCAGATGTCATACAACAATAAAGGACATTGTGTCCGGAACCTGGCCCACGTTTCCCCTTTTCTCTTTCTTACCCTTTCCTGCGGGATGAGCTGTCATTCTTATTGCGAGATTAACATCTTGCAGCACCCCGCCATTATCTTTTACTAGCATTTTTTTAAAGGATATTAACTGGGCCCGGTAATGATAACAGAAAAGACGTTCATGGTTTTAATGCTGTTGAAGATCAATCAATAGATCACTTTCCCTCTGACTTCAATAATTGTTTAACAGTTAAAAACAAAACTTCGGCACACACACACACAAAAAAAAAAGGACAGAAATTAGGGGAGCTTAGATACAACCGAAAACGGTGAAAAAAAAAAAAAAAAAAAAAGCACTCGAGCATGTATAATCGCTCATTATCATGTTTATGTTTTATACCGGGTGTTTAACCGTCTTCCGGTGAAACTATTCCCAAGAAATTTACGCATCGCAGAAAAAAAAAAAAGAAAAAAAAAAAGATAGAGAACGTATTGGTCACTGCCGAGGGGCTAGTTTAGTGAAGTACATAGCATTTGTGTATTTGAGTTTTTATTTGGTTTTGAATAATTAAATATTTGTTAGTAAAAATGAATATAGGGCTTTCATTATAAACAGCACGTGCTTTTAAAATGCCGAAAATGAACCGGTTAGTGGTTTTCGATGATGTCCATAAAGAGTCTTATTCGAATAATCTGTATATTTTCACGAATTAAAAAGTTAATCGTGCGAATCTAACAAAAAATTCGATATTTTAAACATTGTGTATACCACAATAAATATGTCTTTTGGCAGTTATCAATACTGTACAAATATTATTTCCGTGAAATCCGTTGTTTTTAAACAAATATTCTGGCCGAGGTTTGGTGAAACACATTGTTTAGTTTACAAAATTGATATCGGGAATAAAGGCTATAGACCTTTCCCGCAAGGTCGCCGCCATCTTAAATGTTATCACTTGGGCGAAAATATAGAATTTTGCCGGTCGCCATGCCCATGGAATCCATTTAGGATATAAGCGGTTAGCCGTCGCCCATTCTAATTTTGCCTCAACTCTATTTTTTTGCTACTTGGAGGTTGAAATGTTTTATTATTTATTTCGTCACCCATACTGAATATGCCTACCAGGGGGCTGGAGACGAGAATAAACAAAAACCCAATTTAAGCTTAGGCTAGAGAACAGACCAGTTCAAGACGAATAAAGTAGTCGTGATGAGTGAGACCGGCGGACGAGGTGGCCGAGAGGTTAAGGCGATGGACTGCTAATCCATTGGGCTCTCTGCCCGCGTGGGTTCAAATCCCATCCTCGTCGCTTCCTTTTTTTTTTTTGTAATTATTTCGTGCCAGTTTCATACAAATTTTTCTTCGCTTTTTCTTTGTTTTGTTTTAGCGAATGTATAATAAGTGCTGAAAATTATAACAAGTGTCAGCGCCTCGGTGTTCACGCTGCTCGGTAAATATCCGCACCCTTCACGCAGAAAATCCACAAGAAGACTCTTGTGTTGATAATGCAATGAATGCTAAGGTACAAGCGAGCCGGACAAGAATGACGGTACTAATCCCTGGAGAAAGGGAAGACAAGGGACAAAGGACAAACACAAATCTCCAACATCTTCGGAGATTTGTGTTTGTCCTTTGTCCCCCTTGTTTCCCCTCCTCCAGAGATTATTGTTGTCCCTCTTGTGCGGTGGCTTGTCACATTCACCACCGCAAAGTCACGGCAAACGAGGAACCCGTAGGTCTATCAGACTGTTTCAGGTCAAGACGTATATGCTCTTCTCTTTAGCCAGCACTTTTCAGTTCTAATATATTCAATCACTAAATGGTTTCACCAACATATGATATATTAAGATTATGTATTTTTTGTCTGTGACAGTCCTGGGACAGTGCGCACGTGTTCTTGGAGTAATTGTTCTGTCTAGATGACCTCGAAGAAGTCAATACCACATGGGAACCATTACGCGACGCATCTATGAGGAGATGGGACTGGACTTGATCGGAGATAAACGACTTGTGTTTGCCATTTGGTAGCACACGCTTTCCGTTGACTACTTAAGGGCCAACTAAATCCGGTTGTTGAAATCACCATATTCTGGCGTAGTAGTGTAGGCACAACACATGCTCATATTCTTTCAAAAACCAATGCTAAATGGCATAAAAAAATTGCACCTATGCATAAGAACTTGTACATTGACGGACGCGAAAAAAAAGATGGTTAACCTGATACAATACTTTAGGATTTTAAGCGCAGAATCATTTGTTCAAACTAGAGACAGTGAATGTTCCCAGAGTAGCGCATTCCATTCAGTCCGCTCACCGGAAGTGAATCCCGCAGAATCTAGTTCTGATTGGCTGGTTTAGCCCGTGGCGGGAGTTATCAGTCGGCTATTTTGTGGATCGGCCCAAAACAACAAAAACATCTACATAAAACGTCTCCGCGTCACCACGGCTACGGCGGGTACGCACGGGTGAGACCTCTGGGCACCGATGAGTTAGGACCGAACGGAAGGTGGGTTATTTTTTCTAGTTTTATTATTTTTTTATCCAGTAGCCACTAATCCGGTTCGTCGAAGAAGATTGCCGACTCGTTTGCTCGCTCCGGTTACGGGTTACGCTGGTGCTGCGTTTCAAACTCTACGCGTCAGCCGCTAAGCCTAACACTGGACTTCGATGTGGTTCGTGGCGAGAAAGAGACGAGAGAGCAAAGACAAAGTCACTCATCGCTCTGAACGAGGAAATAACTTTAATAAAGACAAATCAGTGTCGCCACAACCCAGAAACGTCGACTGAAGAGCTCACAGGAGAATGAACGCTGCACTCTACGCGCTTCGCTTCGACCGCACAGGGCAGCGCCATATTGGAGATCGCGAATGCTGCGCCGCGACTCGGTTCTAAAACGAAGCTTGGGAGTTTCGGTACTCTGGGAACACTGAGTGACTCTAGTTTAAACAAATCGTGCGATTGTATCCAGTAAGAAAACAGGACAAGTGACATTGAGCGAAATGAGTTTACCTCTCAATCGATAAACTTTTTCGGTCTTTATCATGGCGGGCCAAGAGCAAGTTTTAGGAAAGATGAATTATAATATATAACTAACTTATTTTGGCACGTAAAGCCAAGATAAATCGTGATTAGAGAAAGTAACACAAATTTTAGTAACGCTCAAATAGGTTTAGGTATTTCTGGTTGTCAAAGAAGCTCTATCAATGGTTGTCAAAGCTCGTGCGCCGTCAAGAAACACTCCGACAAGCGCAAAGTCACTACTACACGAAGAGCACTATCTTAGACTTGAAAGGCGTTACGGTTACAACAAGGGTGATTGACAGGTTAAGATGTGACATGCCATTCATTTATGTCAAGAGCGAAAAGAGTTTGCTCGAAAACATGACGCGCAGGCTAATGTCGAGGGTCGACTGGCACATACGTTGATATGAATGCTGGCACGTTCTGCCATTCCCATTTTTGTTGACACATTTTTTCCCTTTTCGTTGGTTTCCTTTTATTCTTGTTACATAAGGCACGGTTTCCTTCGTCGCATCATCTGTATCACGCGATTTTCATTCTCGCTTTGCGACAAGGAAAAACATAAACATGTAGGTGTACAAACCCAGCTTCAGATATCCTCATTCTCCTCCTATCATGAGAATAGAAATAAACAACGAGGAAAGAAAAAGTCTAAACAATTCATGTCGTTACGACGTCAAGGAAACAACAATGTTGTTTTCGTAACATCTTAATGCTACCCGTGCTAGAAATATATTTTGAACAACCTGATCGAGAGCTAGACATTGGAATAAAACAATATGTGCTAACCTTATTTTGGTCAGTGTGTTAGACCAATATTATCGATAATTTATATTGAAGAGTTCTATATAGCGTTACGGAAGGCAAGGGGCGAGAGCTCGTGTTTTTCGGAAGAGAACTCCCCAGGCGAGAGCTACGAAAACACGGTGATTACGCTGAATTACGTCATCGTTACGAGTTACAAGGTACGTACGTTCTCATCCCAAGTTATGTGACGTAAGAATCTACGGTTTCACCTCGCAACTCGTAAAAGGTAGTATAAAGAAAGTAGATCGTTTCTGAACAAAGCTCGATGACGATGCTTTAATTGATGACGTTGCACCGTACGCTTTAATTTTGTTCCAGAGGAGGAATACGCCTAAGATGCGCTCTTTCTTCACATTAAACAAAACTTGTACTTTGGTGCGCTCGTCACTTATGCAATGCAACTCAAATCAAATAGAGGCATCAGAGACGTCAGTGGCATGTCTACATGGCATACAGGCTAATAACGTCTACCGACGCCATGGATGTGTGCGTGACGTACACACGCTGTTCACCCT